ATTTAAATTCCTATAATAACACGTCACAACGTGGAACTTTCCTTTAAGTTAGGGAGAGAAAATTATTCTTAACAACTGGAGCATTTTTAGAGGAATGCATCGATAAGCAAATTCCTCAATGAAATGGTCATTTTGTGGAAGAAAAGCACATAACTAAGCCCTGTGGCCCTTACGAGAACAATCAGAGGGTGTCAGTAATTTACCGGCAAAGGTGACCGTGGATTCTCTTAATGAATTAGAGGCAAAGCAATTGAGTATAAGTGGGGTGAAATAAAAATCATGAATGTAATCCAGTAATGCACATGGGTTATTGTTGATTGGAATTTATTGTGCTTGATATTTTAGAAGTTTATATGTACCATGAAGCAATTTGTCACATATGAAAAAACAAAAACAAAAACAAACAAACCCAGAAAGCCCTCAGGTAAGTCACTGAAATCCTTCCAGGGAATTGAGGCGACTAGCCTTCAAAATGACTTCCCTTTGTATTCTTGTCATATATATGACCTCACGTATGTTTATTTTCCATATATTTGTAGTTTTGAGGAACTACAATAGAGTTATCTATAAGGTCTCTTTATCCAAGCAGCGGGTTATCAGTGATAAAAATTATAGGGGAGAATACTAAAATGCACTAATATATACTCAATAAGTGATTTTGATGGTGGCAAAATAATACTGGGAATAAAATGAGATGCCACTGAACACACACTTGTATAAAAGTTATAAAAAATACTTGTTACACACCATTTAAAATGTGGAGGTCTAGTACAAGATAAAAAGTGTAGTGTTCTAAAATGTAATAAGGTGTCCCTTCATTTATTTCACTGGTATTACTATGTTTGTAGGGGCTTTGGAGAGAAATTGTAGTCTAATGTTGAATTTGACTTCAGGTCCTGAAAGTCTAGTTCCAGTGGTGGTGGGTTCCCAGTGCCGAGTGAAGCCATCCAAGGTTGAGGATGAGGGCTTGGTGCCACCAATGGTGGCCAAGAGGTACACAGGGCAAGAGGTTGGGTGGTAGTGTGAGCTGGCTTGCTGACTGGTCAAGTCCTCCATGATGTTTCAGGGTAGCCGTGTCTGTTTTAGGGGAATTATTTTCTCCCCTATTGAGGACAGGCCCAAGGTAATATTTATCTTTTTTTATTCTCAGGGAATGTCACAAAGTAGATTGTAGAAAAATTTGTTGAAAGCATCGGTGTAGCTTCCCCCTCATCAACGTTTATTATCCCCACTATAATATTCTTCCTAAGTACAATAGTGTTATTGATCATCTGAGTTCCCAATTCATTCAAATTATTTGCCTAGATTTAAAAAATTCCTAATTGTTTTGCATACCAAACTTATAGGCCACTGTTAATTTGCAGAGTTGTTTCAAATCAAATGGTATATGCCGTGTCTTGCACTTACTCAGTTATTCACCGCTAACATCTAAATCGGAGAAGTGAAAAGGACAATTGTTTAGCGCTTTTTAAAGTCCCTGACCGGGATCAGTAGGGAAATCCCATTAGCTCCATTCATCGCATTTCTCATAAATCTAAAAGGAGAGCAAGTATCCAAAGCCTTATTCTTTAATAGTTCTTATTTGTAAAACCTTGACAGGGCTTTATTCTAAATTGCTTCCAAATTATGTAAAGAATACTGAGAAATATGATGGGTAGTGAATCGTGATAGTTTCAGTTATTGAATAAATAACCAGAACAGTAAAAGGGGACTAATCTGAAAGCAAACAGTATGATGGGCCCTGATGAGGCGAAAAGAACTGTGGCTTTCTTAAGCTACCATCTGGCTCAGCCCTCTGTGAGTGGGCAAGTCGGACAATCTTCTATGCAGCGCCCTAAAACTTATTCAAAAGGAGCTGTATTTGAATATTAATTTCTCATATTGTTAACAACAATAACAAAAAAACCAAACCCAAGCCCTTTCTGTAGCTGAAAAGGAATGTTTAACAAAATAATCCTCTGGCTAAACATGAGGGTGTGAGGCAACCTGTGGGTGGGAGGTCTGCTGTGTTCGCAGTGTGGCCGCTTCTAGGCCTTCACCTCTGCGGCTTCTTTGTGGCTAGGGTAACTTATTAAAGTTGTCATCATGGTTTGAAATTTAGGCAAGAGGTGCAAAAATAAGGAATTCATTAAGAAAAATGAATGCGGTAATTTCTACTACTTTTTAATAAAAATAAGAAAATAATGTAGAATTGCCATATAGGATAATGGGGGCAAGTGACAGCAGAAATGATAATCTACAGTTCAAATTGTGCTCTGTGAACTGTGAACCTATTTCATCACTTTCTGACAGACCCACCACAACTGCTGTTTTGTTTATTAAGTCCTGGATTTTTAAAGGAAACTGTAAGAGGCCTTAATTTTGTTTTCCGAGGTGTGTTTGAAAAGTGTAAGTCGAATAAATAGAAGCCCACTACTTATCTTCAGCAAGATGCTTTTAAAAAGGTATGTTAGCAATCTCTGTGGTTTAAAAGACAAAACCAAGTCCTGCCGGCTTTGTGTTGTGCTTCTCTTACAGACTGCAGTGCCTTCTGTCTGCTTTAGGGTGTGGCATCTGCCATTGGGGAGGAGAAACTGGCATGTGTCGCCTTTTATAGCAGACTGATTTCATTGTGCTGGGGGCCTCTATTTCATAGCCTCTTGGTTCCAATCTTCTAGATGACTTGCTGAAGCAAATGGAATTAAAAGAGATTTCAACTTACATACCCTTTTTGTTTTTTATTTTCATGATTTTTCTCTATGAAATATTTTAAAGAAATGGGCCAGAGCTGAACTTGGTGACTCATTTTCCCTTTTAGAATTAGTTATAAAAATAAGCCAGAAATATGGCTAGCCTTGTATGAACTGACTTTGATATATTTTATCAGTTTGAAAAGAAAGTACTTTTATGATTGTATGTGTACATTTAGTTTGACCGTAAATGTTTAAAAGCATAAATATGTAATTGATTTTAGAATATATGCATATACACACATACACAAAACAGACATATATTTGCATATGAAAAACTTAAAACATCCAACTTATGTGATATAATGCATATAATTAGTACACACGGTATTTGAATATACAAAGGGAGAAAATCCAAAAAAAAAAAAAAGTCAAAAAGGCACACTAACAAAGATGTAGTATTCTCTTGGCAAAAACTGATGAATGATTTGGCATGGATTCATCTTACAGTTCTGTTATTCTCTCTTACACGGAATGATAGAACCCTGTTTTCCAGTTGTTTGCATAGAATTGCAATTTGTTATTTCTACACTCTATAATGACCCTTGGGTATGCACCTGATTCCCCTCCCCCTCAATCAGTCACCGGTTTTTCTCATCTATCCTTTTCTATCTTGTCCTGGAACATTTACTTGGTCAAGCAGACAAAAATAACCACTGCACTTGAAATAAACTAAAACAGTCTTCATGAAAAGCTGACAAATGAAATCATTTTAGAAAACTACGTTCTACCAAATCATATATATTATTTCAGCTAGTGTGACCTCTTGAAAGCTCTGGTTTCAAATGCTTCCTATCCATGGAAACTGAGTCCACACTAGTACAAGTTAGCCATTGCTTAGGTTACAAAGTCCTTTGGAAGATATTCAAGGTAATAAATGAACAATAAACACATTTAAAAAATAAAAAAATGGTAAGGCAATAGATAATATTGTTTAAAGAACAAAGCAAGAAACATTTCTACTCTAGGATTAACTATGATCGATTTATATTATTATTGATCTCATGCTTATTAAATATAACATGTCTTAGTTTTGTTTCAAATTACTTAGAAATGAACTCATATCATGGGGGTTAACTGTGGATATTAACCTCTGAAATATGGTGAAAGGCGTCATATAGATTTATGAAGGTATGAGATAGACCTTAGCTGTCACTACTTATGGCACCGATAGTTAAATTTCCATGTATGAGTTGTTTGGAGCATAACACACCACTCTTCATACTTGAGGACTTTCTTTTCTGAGAGGGGATAGACAAGTGTGTTGTAAGAAAGACGCTCCTTTGGGAACACCTGGGAGTTTTCACGGATAAGCCTACACAGATACATGGTGTAGTCAATTACAGGCATTTATTGAGTACCTGCTGTGTACAGTGTACAGGGTACCGTGCTCCTCAACTGCGTCTAACCTTCCCTTAAACTCTTAATTCTGCAGTTTCAATAAGTTGTGGGAATTAGGCTGATGGCCCGAAATCAAGGCAGAGAGGCAACATTCTGAAAAATTACATAACTCCTGGGAGAGGCAGGGCTTTGCAGATTGCCCAAATATTTTCTTTCTCCGTCGGCTCCTCGTAACCTTTGAGGACAACAGACAACTTTGTTCCCCAGCCCTTCTCCCTCTTTTGTCTGCTCGTCAGACTCGTTTTCCACCTTTGTATCATTCCTCTTAGACGTGAAAACAAACACGCGAACTCCCGGTTGGCAAGGAGACGGAGGCACGAGGGGAAAGTGCAGCCTCCGGCCGCCCCACGCCGCCGCGCTCCGGGCGCCCGCCGAGCCGGCCCAGGTCGCCGGCCGGGCCCGCCGGGCGTCTGCACGCTGCGCCCGGGCGGCGGGCGGCGGGCGGCGGGCGGCGGGCACAGCCCGGAGGGCGGCGGCGGCCCGCCGAGTCCAGTCCGCGTTTTGCGAGTGCACACGAGTAATCAGAGAGAAGTGGATAATAGTTGCTCGGGCTCGCTCGGCTCCCTCTCACGCCGTGCTGGGCCCGACAGGCTCAGCCAGTCGTATATTTACCCATATCCGGGTTAGAGAGGAAAAAAGTTTCATTTAAACCTGAACTCAAAACTTTCACCGTGAAATCACACAGCGGGAGCAGGCCCAGACCGTAAGGCGTGACTCCCGGTTCGGCTCCGGCCGGGCCTGGGGAGGGGGAGGGGGCTCGCTCGATCCCCGTCGGGGCGTGTGGATGCGCACAGGAGGGGCCGCGGACTAAAAAGTGGGTTTTATTGTCTCCCCCCGCCCCCCGCCCGGCCTCGCCACGCCGCGGCGATCATGGCCGCGCGGGCAGCAGCAGCGGCGGCGGCGGCGGCGTCGCGGGCGGGCAGCGGCGAGCGGCGGGCGCCCCCCGGGCCGAAGCCGGCGCCCGGGGCCCGGGACCTGGAGGCGGGGGCGCGCGGCGCGGCGGCGGCGGCGGCACCGGGACCCATGCTGGGGGGCGGCGGCGGCGACGGCGGCTGCCTCAATAGTGTGCACCACCACCCCCTGCACCCCCGTAACGAACTGAACATGGCCCATAACGCGAGCGCGGCGACCGCCGCCAGCACTAACAGCGCCAAGAGCGGCGGATCCGAGGCGGCTCTCAAGGAGGGTGGAAGCGCCGCCGCGCTGTCCTCCTCCTCCTCCGCGGCGTCCTCTTCCTCCTCGTCGGGCCCGGGCTCGGCCATGGAGACGGGGCTGCTCCCCAACCACAAACTGAAAACCGTTGGCGAAGCCCCCTCCGCACCGCCCCACCACCATGCCCACCACCACCACCACCATGCCCACCACCACCACCACCATGCCCACCACCTCCACCACGCACTACAGCAGCAGCTAAACCAGTTCCAGCAACAGCAGCAGCAGCAGCAGCAGCAGCAGCAACAGCAGCAGCAGCAGCAGCAGCAGCAGCAACATCCCATTTCCAACAACAACGGCCTTGGCGGCGCGGGCGGCGGCGCGGCTCAGCCCGGTCCCGACATGGAGCAGCCGCAACATGGAGGCGCCAAGGACAGTGCCGCGGGCAGCCAGGCCGATCCCCCGGGCCAGCCTCTGCTAAGCAAGCCGGGCGACGAGGACGACGCGCCGCCCAAGATGGGGGAGCCGGCGGGCGGCCGGTACGAGCACCCGGGCCTGGGCGCCCTGGGCGCGCAGCCGCCGCCGGTCGCGGTGCCCGGGGGCGGCGGCGGCCCCGCGGCCGTCTCGGAGTTTAATAATTACTATGGCAGCGCTGCCCCTGCCAGCGGCGGCCCCGGCGGCCGCGCTGGGCCTTGCTTTGATCAACATGGCGGACAACAAAGCCCCGGGATGGGGATGATGCACACCGCCTCAGCCGCCACCGGAGCCCCCAGCAGCATGGACCCCCTGCAGAACTCCCACGAAGGGTACCCCAACAGCCAGTACAACCATTATCCGGGCTACAGCCGGCCCGGCGCGGGCGGCGGCGGCGGCAGCGGAGGCGGAGGCGGAGGCGGAGGAGGAGGAGGAGGAGGAGGAGGCAGCGGAGGAGGAGGAGGAGGAGGAGGAGGAGCAGGAGCAGGAGCAGCAGCAGCAGGAGCGGGAGCTGTGGCGGCGGCGGCCGCGGCGGCGGCAGCAGCAGCAGGAGGCGGCGGCGGCGGCTATGGGGGCTCGTCCTCGGGGTACGGGGTGCTGAGCTCCCCCCGGCAGCAGGGCGGCGGCATGATGATGGGCCCCGGGGGCGGCGGGGCCGCGAGCCTCAGCAAGGCGGCCGCCAGCGCGGCGGCGGGGGGCTTCCAGCGCTTCGCCGGGCAGAACCAGCACCCGTCGGGGGCCACCCCGACCCTCAACCAGCTGCTCACCTCGCCCAGCCCCATGATGAGGAGCTACGGCGGCAGCTACCCCGACTACAGCAGCCCTAGCGCGCCGCCGCCGCCGCCGTCGCAGCCCCAGTCCCAGGCGGCGGCGGCGGGGGCGGCGGCGGGCGGCCAGCAGGCGGCCGCGGGCATGGGCTTGGGCAAGGACATGGGCGCCCAGTACGCCGCTGCCAGCCCGGCCTGGGCGGCCGCGCAACAAAGGAGCCACCCGGCGATGAGCCCCGGCACCCCCGGCCCCACCATGGGCAGATCCCAGGTAACCCCCGCGCCGGCCGGGCCTGCTTCCGCCGCGGCGGCCTCGGCGCGCGCCGCGAGCCCTAGTTTCTTTCTTTCCGCGTACTTTTCTGCGGCTGCTGCCGGGGAGGCGGGGGCGAGGGGTCCAAAGCCATTTTAAGTCCCGGCCGCTTCCCTCGGAGGCTGGGGCGCGCACCGGGTCCGAGTGCGCGGCCCAGGGGCCTGGCGAGGGGTCTGGCCGAGGGCCGGGCCGGGCGCGGGCACTGCCGGCGGCCGAGCACCCCGCCTCGCCACCCCACCCCAGGCCGGAGCCGCGCGCCGGAGCCGGGGACTGCGCCGCCTGGCCGCCGGGTGGGCGCCGGGGACGGTCGGGCGGCTTTTGTAAGGCAGTCGGCGCCCCGGCCGGTCCGGTGCGGACGCCAACATCGACCCCGTCTTCTCGGCTAGCGCCCACAATAAGCTGTGACTGGGGAGAGAAGGGGGAACTTTGTCCCCCCTCCAGCCACCCCGCGTTCCCTCTGAGCTCCCAAGGTGAAGGAGGAAAACACACGTTAGCTTTGTGGCAGCCGAGTGTGCTTTTCGTAGTTCTGCCCAGCCACGAGCTGATGTTCGATGCGGGCTTTGAGTTTGAATGTTCGGCAGTAAAAATAACACCCAAGTGTGCAACGACGAGGACTCGAATATTCTGAAATATATCGATTCGTTCCTAAGAACCGCGAGGAAATCCATTATTTGGCTCACGGGCTGCTCGGAAGGAGTCACCTTCAACAGATAGGCTGTTTTAAAGGAACACATTCCGGGTAAATTGAACTTATTTTGATCATGGATTAGGCAAACATTTTATTCAGCGAGTCCAGGAAAATAGCAGACCAGTGAAAATGGATCTTTTTGGATCGGATTTATTCAGATTTTCTCTAATTTGCTGTCGCCCAAGTCCTACAGCGTCATTAGGAAATGCCCTGCAGCCTTGCTGTTTCTTGCTCGGAGGCTGATCCTAAAGACTGACTTGATCTCCTTTGCAAGGTTTGGAATTTGAATTGTGGAGGTAAACTGGCTGTAATAGTCTCCAGACAGCTGCCTCTGAGTTGACATCTAATCTGCCATCTGATTGGCTCCCCTCTCACCATTGGGCATTTAGCACTGCTGATGTAAATAGAAGTGCTGAGCAGTACAGTCACAAAAATTCTTGCCACAAATAATAACTGAGCTCTATTACAAGCAGATGTAAGGTTGAATATTATTTAAGGCTTAAATTATTATGAATCATATTATTAATAAGAGGATTAAATACATAAAAACAGTACTGTGGTGTCCAGTGTTGGGAATTTACAAAATACAGATCTTTGACAGTCCTGACACCGGACTTTGCATATATCACAGCCTTTAATTGTAGGGCGAGGACATGGCAGTTGAAAAATAATTAAGCCAAGGGTTTTAACAAGTTTTGGATTTGTTAAGCTTTTATAAAAGCCCCCTTTACAGATTAAACTGAGAAATATTTGAATTATGTCATCACGATTTGCTATAAAATGGAAATTTGTACTGTTAAAAAATTCAAGATTCTGGTATACAACATCTTTTAGTGTAATTTAATTAGCTTTATAACAAGGTTAAAGCTCTATTTCTAGTAATTTGTATTTTTAACAATTCTGTGTTAAGATGTTACATGTAGATGAGGTGTTTTAGTTAGAATTGACATTATATTTGAAAAAACAAAGTGAGAAAGCTGTATAATTTTTGCAGATAATTAGTAAAAAGGGAAAAATGGACATTTTAGTGAAATACTAAAAGTCCTATTCACTTCCGATTTGGAGAATACAGAAATGCCCCAAGAACCCCCCCCCCCCATTATTTTGTTACATTAGGTCATGTGAGCCTTATTTGAACTGCTTACACAATGAATTAGGTAAAGTAGATTGCATGCAAGTTGTTGGGTGTGTTTCTTCCAAATAATTTTTCTTTCATAGACCTTTTAATGCTATGAAAGTTTTAAAATTTTTAATCTGTTGCAAAGTAATAATAGTGGTTGTAATATATATTTTCACTCAGCTCATTTACTTAGGAAGGTGTATTTTAATAATCAGGTTTTAGTAGAGAGACTTGTCTGAGTGATTGAAAGACCGAATTTAACTGATAATCACGTGAATCTCAGGCTGAGGACATTAATGTCCACTGCTTTCAAATCTGTACTTATTGGAGTCTTACTTTTAATGATAATATATTTTCCATTCTTGATAGAAAACTTGCGGTTTCAATTTTTATTTTTGAGTCACACATGTAAAAACATTATAGAGAAACCTTGTGAAAATAAACTCACGTTATTAATTTTAAAAAGATTTGCTTTGTCAGCTTGCTTTTAAAGGGACAGTTTAAAATTCACATCTTTGTAAACTAGAAACGAAAGGATGATAGAGGCAGATGTAGGTTCGTGTTACTTTAGAGTATTATTTCTTAATGGTACCAATCATTTTAAGTATTTTGTTTTCTTGGAATGAGAGTGAATCCATTATGTTCTCAGTGTGACCCTTGGGAATAGCTTTTTTATTTTTGAGGGGGAAGAAAAATGACAGGCATATGACCTAGATTCACAGATTTCTTTTAGGTACCTTACCGTATAACATGTGGAATGTGTCTTCTTTATATTTTTCTTTTTGGAACCCTATAGTATTACTTAGTATTTGTTATGGTAAATGGCTAAGAAACAGTCATTTGCCCCAAATATTAAATTACTACATAACTATAGGTCGTAAAACTCTATTAAATCACGTTATATGATGACATTTTCTTGTGGCTTTTAACACATTTAGTTTCATTTTTGATTTTAGGAAATGGTTTGTATTGGGTGGCAAATGTTTTTGTAATTAGGAACAAAACATGTGCATGTATTGTAGGGGGAAGATCTTTTTAAAAAGTGAAATAAGCCATTTTATGATACAGTTTAGGGTTTTTGTGAGATAAAGTATTCAGATAGAGCAGTCTCATAAGGAATATTGAGGTTTTCTCACATAATTAAGATTTTATAATGTCTACATTTGTACTGAATTCCATTAATGCTATTTTAACTTTAGTTTTATTGAACATAATACAGTGTAATAAAAAGCCTTATTTATCATTAAAAGAAAAGTGATTAGCTGGCTTACAAAGCAGGAAGTTAAAGGCTGGTTCCCGATTACCTTAAAATTTGTATAAGGCACATTAGAGCTAGCATAACATCATTCTCCTCTTTCCTTTCCTTCCTCCCACTGAAATCTTACGCTGTCTGATATTTTACATCTTGTAAAAAAATTTTTGTGGCCTAGATTTATGTATTTTCCGAGGTATGGCTGGCTGGCTGCTCTAGTGTCAGAAGACGTGGAATTGGCAACTGTGGTTCATAGAAAAGGCCTATCGTTTAAAAAACAAAGAGCAAATAATAAAAATGTCTGCAGTTTTCTGTTTTCCTAGGTTATCTGGGATGAAATTATGCATGGTTTAAATTGTTTTCATTGGAGATCCTATAATCTGTGTACTTTTGACTTTTTTTTTTTTTTAAATAACAACTACTCTTTAAGACAGCTATCACTTAAATTTACATTTATATTTACAAAATTGATAAGTATATTTCAGGAGGGAACAACATATTTTTACCATGGGTCTATAATTGGGAACCTTAATCCTCCTTTTTTCTTTGGTTTTGTTTTTTATCTATATTTAGGAATGAATTTTTGGCAAGGCTTTTTATACTTGTTCCATTTTCCCCAGTGTCATATAGTATCAGGGATGTGTATCTATCCCTAAACAGCATGTTCCTTCATTAGAATTGAGAAAAACATCTTCACTTTGATATAAAAATACTATTAGTTCTGGTTTGAGAACCAGTTTAAAAAATATAAGACATTGTAGAGGAAGACTCTTAATATTGACTCATTTGGTGATTTTATCAGACACAGACACAGTTTTAAAAAGATAGGTGTAATAGAATGGGATTGAGTTTTCAGTTGTTATTAATGGACTTTATTACTTTGTAATTCGGGGCAGGTTGTATCTAAAAAAATGACTTCTGATGTAATAGGAATTTACTTATTTCCCTAGAATAAATACCAGTATGACAGGCAAACCAAAAAGATGATTATTTCATTTATTTAACCCTATCCTCTCCAAGGAAGAGAATGGTTTAAAATTTACTGGGGTCTGTGGCATTTTGCTACTTATTTTGAAGACTGATTTGGAGATGTAAATTTTGGATGTATTAATATAGGAAACTATATTAGCTTTTTGCCCAGTGTCCTAAATATAGAGGCTTTTCTCACTACAGTAGACTGACACCCATTCAGTTAATGGATCTGTGTGCTTTGATCCATATATGTGGAAAAGGAACTAATATTTCACTTGTGTCTCTTTCATTTCGGACTGTGTAGATTTGAAAATTTGAGGCTTATATTTCTGTTTGAAAGAACTGTCATGTGTTCCTTAAAGCAACAGATTTATGGAAGCTCAAAATGAGTATTAAACTCATTCCATTAATTTTTGCAACATTTAGATTTTGAGAATGGATGTTACAAAATTTTTATGACATTTTCAATGATGTTTATTACTTAAAGGGCCACATCTACGTCCTGGGCCTTTTTGGAATTGGGTAGTTTTTGGTAGCTTGCCTTTTAAGAGGTGTCCTTCCTTTATCAGGAGATTTGTGCAGATTCTCTGTGGATATGTAAAGTAGAGTCACATACTTGCCGTGGATTTGTGCTCGAGGCTGAGTAATCCCAAGTCCTAGTTCCCTGTGGTGTGGAGAAGTAACAGGCAAAACTGCTTATCCACCAAGGAGATATATATATATGTGTGTGTGTGTGTGTGTGTGTGTATATATATATGTATGTATATGTATATATATGTGTGTGTGTGTATATATATGTGTATATATATGTATGTATATGTATATATGTGTGTGTGTGTATATATATATATTTTTTCATGTGACATAAATGAGATCTATTATGCATTGTTGCTTTTTCCAGTTTGGAGGCTATTTATACAAGACTAAGT